TTGGAAAAACACAGTGCTTCGCGACTTTGCTACCTTTTCGTGCGCCTGCATCTTCTGTCTTCTTCTGCCACTTTCTCTTCTCTGATTTTTTTCTTCTTCTCTTCTTTTCTTCTCTGACTCTTCCCACCTCTGCTTTTTCGTCTGTCCATATTGTCGGAAGTTTGACTTCTAAACTTCCTTCGATAATGCAGCTATATGCACATGTATTGAACATTCGTTTGCCATTCTTGACTTTGGGGCAGCATTGGCCCCAAACGAATTCCCGACATGCTTCTCAAAGCTGCTATGCCTGCTGTGATTCTCAGGAATCCATCCGCGAGCTCCAAATGGCCATCCATTCGCCCAAGAGTCTGAAACGACGGGGGAAAGCTCCGCCAGACGAGCTGCGGGTACGTTTGTGGCCTTGCAGTCCGGATCAGGCGGCTGCGTTTCAGCTTCCAGCTCACATCATTGGCCCCCGGCGACGTCGTGGGCCTGCTATTGTGGGTGTGGATGATAAGGAATTGGATGAAGATGCATGGAAGTTTCCGAAGCAAGCACTCAAGATTTGTCATGTACATTCATGTACTGTATTTGCAATAATTGTACTTTTGGGATGTTTCTCACCCAAACAAAAACTTGGATAGTTCTAATTTTCGGTTGTCGGAACGGCCAGCACTGAGGTTTAACCGCAAACCGCATCCGGCCTCACGTTCATTGCCCAAGTCCGAAATGAGACGCCAAGCACTAGATGATTCATGAAACTGATTAGAAGACCCATAGATAGAACGGTGAGTGTATCCATGGCACAGAGACGTGCGCCGGCCCTTTCTGCAGTCAGGAAAAAGTAAGTGCTGATGGGCAAACTTGACTGGTTGAAATTCCTAACGCATCATTTTAGTGTCACTTGTAATGTAATGACTTACATTATCAGTCTGCATTTTGAACTTACTCACGCTTCCCTTGTTTTGGTAGGTAATGAAAAGATTGCTTCCATCTTTGAAGAGATGAGCATGGTACAGAAGCTGAAACGAGATCGCTTTCGCTCTCAGGCACCGGCTTAAACAGTTTCTGCCAAGTTGACCTGTCGGGAAACTGTAGGACCTGTAGGGTGATTGGTGCAGAATGGTGCAGCTTGCAATTCGAACTTGGAGCATTGGAGGCTTATGCCAAGGCAGCGCAAGCCCTGCGTGCACTGGACCACGCGATTGACAGTGGTGCTCAAGCAAAGGCTATCAAAGGCATCGGTGCGGGTATGGCGAATCGCATAGATGTACCGTGGTTGCAAGCCACACATTTCATACGTCACAGCAAGTCGTACACACCTAGTCTAGGACCTAGACGACCCGTTGATTGAAAACAGTTGCACCACGTCGATCCATGTCGCATATGTCGCACAAACCAAACTCATCACATCATCTGCTCCAAGGTCATCCTGAAAACTGGAGAGCTCCAGGAACTTGAAGATTTAAAGAACGACAGTGATGTGGTGGCCTTGCGCGAGCTTCGATCCGTACCTCGCTGCTCTTGTCCCAAGAAGACTGGAAGGTTCAAACCATTCTAAAGCCATCCTAATGCAATTTTAAAGCATTTCTATAGCTTGAATTAGCTTGAATTCGCTTGAATTAGCTTGCTCAGGTTCATGGCATAGGAGCCGTTGCAGCGGCCAAGTTGGTCGAGCAGGGCATCAGATCGCTGCTACAGCTCAGACAAGCGGTGGAAAAGAAGCAAGTTCATTTGGATGCAGCCCAGGCACCTTTTTTTTGGCAGGATTTTTGACAGCACTTGAACAGGCGCGCATACTCGATTGATCTTGATTATATATATATAATGCACATTGTTGCACACGTGCATACACAATTGTAATCAATTATATACAATTGGACTGTCCTGTTGAGATCACTGTTCTGTCCAGTGTTCAGTGGATGGCGCGTCTGTGGGCCGTACAGGCGCTAGGTCTTCGACACTGCGAAGAATTCAATAAACGCATCCCTCAGGCACATCACGGAACACCATTGACTAGACACCGGCAGTCGGACGCAGGACACACTGTTGATACAGTGGTTGGCACAGTGGTTGCAAGTGCCTTGTTTCTTAACATGCCACTTAGCAGCTTGCTGGTTCACTATTAATCACTGTGCTAGAATGCTGCTTCTTGAAAGCTTGCCCATTCCCCTTGTTTGTAGGCAGAGATGAAGGAACATCATGCCTTTCTGGAGCGTTGCAGAGTGCAAGATTATCCGGCTCTTCTGCTGACGGCACGGCTTGGGTAGGGATGGTAGGGATTGATCGGCGGTTCCCTGCCACGTGAGTTTGAAACAAATGAAACACGTGAAAGGTCTGTGGCTCTTATCGGCGTGGCCGACCAGATTGTGGTGACATTGACTTGAACTCAGGTTTGATGAAGCCATGCAATGAGCCATGAAACCGTGTGAATTGATTGATTGATTGATTGATTGATCGATTGATTTTGATTTTGATTTGACTTTATTTGATTTGATTGATTAGTTGATTGATTTAATTGTGATTCGCATTGATCCGTTCAAAATGTTGATCCTGAAGATCTCAGACACGATGCCGCTATTTAGCTGCAGTTGAATTTAAGGATGTGTTGATCAGCCATCCCAACTACACCACTGCAAAGAAAGAAACCAATGCTGGTGGCAAACTGCTGCATGGTTTCGTTCCTGTTCTGAGAAAAGATTTTGCATTGGCCTTTGTTGGTTGCTGAAGGGGGATGTGAGATGGAATTTCAACACACACAGTCAGACATGCAAAAAAGGAGAACCGCGGATAGGACAGTCCAGTGGCCCTGACTTATGATCACTTTATACAACTTTCATAACATCTTAATACATCTTAAATCTTACAGTAAGCTAAACAGTACTTTGAACCTCTTTGAACATCGAACATCTGAGCTGTTTTGACGGAGAGGGGAGTGGCACCCGTTCGAAGGTGAACAGTTTGAAGAAAGTGGGCTACGTGACTGGCGACCTGGCCTTTGGACAGACGAAGTTCATGGGAGTTTGCAGGTCCTCAACACACACAGAGAGCGATGTAATACACCTACAGTGTGTGTATATAGCAATATTGCATGCATATAATGCTACTTTTCATGCACTTTCTATGTTTTCCTTTCTAGTTTTTATGTTTTGTTTTGGATGTGGTTCAGTTTCTGCCAGGCTGCCTGGCGGATTGCACAGACGCCTGGACATTCGCTGTATGCCCGAGGACCAGTATCACTTTGGCACCTCGTCAGTTGCAGTCGCAGTCGTCATCGTCACATATCCATGGATATGGTGATCTGGTGGCAACATGTGGCAACCACCAGATGGATCACCATCTAAATATTCTAAATCACCCTGTTTGAAAGTGCAATTTCTGCGTGATGGTGACATGTCTCGACTCTTGACCAGATGAGACCGCCTCCATGAGCATGCAACATGGCTCAAAAACTTGACTCATGACTGTCATGACTGATGCACATAGCAGAAATCAAGAGCACACACGAACTGGCAGGAATAAAAGATGACAGTACATGCCATGCACATGGAACCAGCCATGATTATTCCTGCGAAAGACACGTGGATAACCCTTGCCCTTCGCTGACAATCATGAGCCTCGATTGGAGTGATCGCGATCTTCTGGAGCGGCTTGGCTTGTGCGATTTGACCGGGTACTCCCGGAGCTTCCTCCTAAATCTCAGAAATTCATGAAATATCCAAAGATATCCTGCAACAAAAGTTTGCAAGGCGTAGCTGCCGTAGCTGCCGTAGCTGCCGCAGCTGCCGTAGCTAGTTCTGAGCTGTTGAGCTGTTTCTCTCAGAATCTCAGGTGGGCTCAGAGAACCCTGCCAGAGTTCCTCTTGATATGCATGCAAGATCCCGATGATGGGCCCTTGGCCTCAGAGCATCCATAGCATCCAGAGCGACAGCAGATGACGGCAATGATCAACCGCCCAAAAGCCCATACATCACTCAGCTCATCATGTAGCCTGCATGATTTTCATGCAGAGGAGACATATTATCAACATTATCGACGCATCGGATTAGGTGGGATCAGTAGGGATCAGTAGATCTGCTGCACCAAGGAAGCGAAGCATTGCATCAACGCCCTGGTCCGAGTATGAACTCTCCATCGCAGAGGTGCAATTGGAAGGCCCAGAGATGTGCACCCAGAGATGTGCAGGGCCTGCAGCCGACAGACTGCTGAGTAGAGTTGTCGAGATGGGAATGCCTTTGGATGAGCAAAAACTGAAGAATCTCAACAGAAAAAACATGTTTACTTGAATAGGCTTTAATTCACGGGTGCCCCCATTATAATAACTAGAAAGATGTGACAATGCGGCTCGCGCTTGAGCAGGTGAGGTCAATTTGATTGGAAGGAAAAACGAGCCAATGCTACAATTTGACCTCGATCTGGGTATGCGTGTCGATGTTGAGAAGAAAGTTGCAGCTTGGCCAAAAGATCTCAGACGCGAGGCCTGAATTGCCGGGAGCAGGTGGCATTTTGACGACCTTTTGGCGACCTTTTGAGAGGATTCAGTAATGTCGAGAAATATTCACAATGGATCCGTGTTGGAGCTGACTAAGGTGGGGAGGCCTAAGAATGATGAAACTGACTACTGGCCTGGCATTGTGCAGATAGTGCATTTTGTGCCTTGACTGTGGGTGATGATGGAGTTGGCCGCCTTGGCCCGGTTGGCCTGGTTGGCCTGGTTGGCCCGGTCCGGTTGGCCCGAATTCTGCAATTGTCTTTTTGTTAGGAAAGACGGCTTTCCAACAATGATACCTCGGTGAGTCTTTTCGCACCAAGGACAATGAAAATCAGAGACCCGCTCTTATCACTCGACTAGAGGAACTCCCAGAGGATATCGCTCAGGAAGTGGGATGGTATCTTCAGGATGCTCGCCTAACTTGGGTTTAATTTGCTTGCGAATCTGTGTCATCTCCTAATTCCCATTGGCTACAAATAGAGTGAACACATTGATTTTTGCAAATGAGGAAGGCATGGGAAGCCGTTTCATTTGGCATGGCCTTGCTAGATGGCAGGCTTATGCAGATTCTTGGCTCCAAGCATCGTTTGAATTCTTTTGATAAGTCTTGTGCTCTTTGCGCCCTGGTACCTGGCAATTAGTGACTAGTGCCTGTTTGGTGAAGGAACATCTTGTCCTTTTCAACCTCGTAGTCACGTAAGAGTCATGAATCATGAATGCACATGTCCTCCATTTGTAGGGGGGCGTGTCATGACAGCAAGCCTAGGCCCAGAAGTGGTTGAAGCAAGCCCCTGCGCACATAGAGGACTCTGACAGACACCTCGTTTTATCGCGAGCTTAACGGACGAGTTTGAGTCCTCCAGGGTGATGTTCAATTTCTTGGACCTGTCCGCAGGCATCCACTCAATTATTTCCGTTCGTCTGCCTGGAGTGTCTCATGATGTGCAGGACCCAAGATCCAACCCCGAAGCCCCACCAGCTTTTCCACCTTTCCTTCGTGCTGCACGAAAGAGGCTCAAGATGGCTAGAGGTTGTGTTTGCATTGCACAGCAGTGAGGTCAAGGGAGGACTGCTTGATGGAAAATGTGGCAAAGAGTTGAGCTGTGACAGGTATGAGGATGAAATTCGCCAAATTCTCCTTGGTTCAGATGATGAGGATGCCAAATGATGCTTGACAGAGGTTGACATACCATAAATAAACTTTGTTGGTTTTATTTGCAGTTCGCCAGGAAGAGTCCGAACAGGAGCAGCTTCCCACTTCCCAACTGAGATTTCAGGACTGCCCAGGGATTGCCCAGAAGTTGTGAAGTGATTGGGAGTGCCCGGACAGTGAGGATGTTTGATGCAATTCTCAGCTGCATTTCCAGGGTTTAAGACCTCCATGGCGGATGCCATGCAGGATTTGGGCATGGTGGGCTCAGCCAATGCCGCAAATTTGATGAGTCGTCGAATCCTTTCAGAGGCAGATGGCCATCCAGGATATGTGCCTTGGCTTGGGCTCAGCCTTTCAGGTATTTGCAGATTATTGGAATTATTGGTAACATTCACTGGCACCGCACCATCCCACCCTAAAGGGACAATCAACAATTCCTGTATGTACGCTAGACAAACCAAAGGTTCTGTAGATTTGGTTGTCCAGTCCATGGATTGAAGGATTGGATTCCAACACTTTGAAAAGTGGACCCGATGAATCTGGTTTGAATTGTCACGTGCGTCAGGGTAGTTGTCTTTGGCAGGCAAGTCCTCCAATCTCTGATGACGAAGATGACTTTGACCCTACTGCGCCCTACGAGTTTGTAGAGGGCACTTTTGAGCGAAAGCGCAAAGGGGCGCCACATATGAAGAAGTTTGGAAGATATCCCTTCATGCCATCCATGTTGGCAGGCGGGGAGTGTGATGCCAAATTCAGCTCCACGGGATTGGGCGAGTTCTGTTTTGGAACATCCAGTGAATCCAGTGTTTGTTTGCCAATTCTTTGCAGGCTTGGGAGGCCCAGCGAATTGGCTGCCACCGAAGGAGCATGCAATTGGACATCCAGAGTGGTTCCAGAATCAGGGTCATCTAACAGGCTTAGCTCCCTCAAGCATCTCGCAACCGTCCCGGCTGTTGTCCAACGGTGTGACCCACTTGGACACCATCTTGGAAAAAGCGCGGAAGAGGAGAGAAGAATTCGAAGCTTCCTCTGTCAACAAGCTAATCTCGATCAAAGCTGCTGATCTCTGCGCAGCTATCGAAAACGGTGACGTCATGAAGGCCTTCGCAAAACTCGACGACAAGACTGCCAGCTGTCCGCATCCTGACACAGGGCGCTGTGCAGCACATTATTGCATTGCAAGAGGCCAGATAGCAGCTGGTTTGGCACATTGTCAATCGAGTGGGGATCATTGAGGATCATTGAGGATACATTAATCATAATGAAAAGAGTTTCAAGTTCCTCTATGTTGCTCTTCCATGACCATTGGGAGAAATTATGCACAAACTTCGCCCCATCTTTGCCCAGCAGGCTCCCATGAACTCCTTCGAATGGTGCTAGAAGCTAGGGCCGACCCAGACGCGAGGGATTCCTTTGGCCAGACACCGTTGATGATGGCAGCAAAGCAGGCGGACGGTTCAGCCGCTTCAGCCGCTTCAGCCGGTTCAGCTGCAAGCTGCTTGCTGCTAGAAAAAACTGGGCAAGTTGGACTTGATCAACTTTCTGTATCTTTCTGTTCGGCATGTATTGGATCTTGTATTGTTTGGGGTTCACGGGGACTTTTCTGATGATGCAATTGAGCAATGACCCATGTCATCATGAAATCATATGAAATCGTGATGATATATGCTTCCATGAATTTGCCTGTTCATTGGGAGGATGTGTCAAGAAGTATCAACCACTGCTACTGCTACATATGGCAGTGAGAATTGAAAGGGCTTGCATGATTAAAAGCCAATGGCACGAATCTTTGCCGTTGCGAGCGGCTAACAATAACATTTTAACTTTAACCATTTTAAACCAATCCATTGTTCTGCACACGGAACAAGAAGAAATCGTCAAATGGAATAGTATTCAGGAGCGAGGTCCGACGGTGCAACTTGCTACTGGTACAATGCTTGTATGATTTGTAAGATTTTGTAAGTATTTTTTCTTCACCGCTTCATCGTCTCTACGTCAGGGAGACCAGGAGGCTGCACAAGTGCTGTTGGACGCTGGTGCTGACGCCGCTGCAACTGATTCCTTGGGACGAGCTGCATCAGACATGATCAAGGTCATTCCGCTGCACATGATATCACTTGGGCACAGTTTGGCATGCGGGTTTGTGATGATTTGCGCTCCGTTCTGGTCCATGAATTGATGTTTTTCACGGTTCTTCCCCTCTGAGTCTTGAGTTGCCTTTCGCTTGGGCCTGAATCCATGTGGCCGCGTGATTCAAATCTCAGAATTGCTAGCTCAGGTTGTAGAGAAACCGGATGAGGAGCATAATCCTTTGAAGAACTGGAGGGAAAAGATGGCAGGACAACCTCTTCCTGAAGATCCTGCGAAGAAGAACAGAGATCTTAAGGTGCCACAGATTTGGACATTGTCTGTTTTGCTCACTGGGGAGTTCATTTGGCCATCCGGTTCAAGTTTTCACAGTCCCCGCACTGGCCACATCCAGGAGTTGATCGACAGCAAAGAAAGGCCCAAAAAGTTCGGTCTGTCTCTGCTCTCGGCGCTGGCTCAAAGAGATGTCAGAACTGCAGAAGCAGCGATGGAAGCGGGAGCTGACATGAAATTGGTGGACGACAAGGGTGACACAGCAGTTATCCTCATCGTGCGCGGCTCAGTTATGTCATGTGTATTTGTTTTGTATATATATATATACATACTGCATGTACATGCAGCTACGTAGTTCTCCAACATGCACATAGCGTCTCAGTTCTTCTGCGGCATCTTGAGGTGAAGGGCAAGTGGAAGGACACTCAGGGGCTTCAAGTGCGACTGCTGCGCAAAGCGATGAAGGCAGGTGCTGACGTCAACTTTCAGAACTGCCAGGGCAACAGCGCGCTGCACTTTGCCTCTCATCGAGGAGACTTGGATGTGGTGGAGGTCTTACTGAGTCTGAAAGCGAGCCCAAAATTGGTGAACGCGGAGGGAAACACGGCACTGATGTACGCCGCACATGGAGGCTACGAAGAGATTTGCACTGCTCTGCTGGAGGCGGCTGCGCCAGTAGCTGTTACCAACCGAGCAGGTCTCACAGCAGAGACCATGGCAGATCGCAGAAACTTCAAGACATGTGCTGCTCTCATCCATGCCTACGAACTGGCACCAAAGCAGGCACCACAAGCTTTGGGACTGATAATGAAATATGAATGATAGTGACCAGAGAATGTGAATTGGGCAAAGGTAGGAGTCTATAGAGTGTCCAATTGCGTTGTTTCATTCGGATGCATCGGATTCCACATGCCTTGTTTGCGGTTCCTTCAGGCAAATCACATCAAGGTCCAACCGAAAAAGAAGAAGGAGAAACCACTTGCTTTCGACTACTCGAAATGGGACTCCTTGGAGAGGGAGATGCGTGCAGATGAAGAAGAGGAGAACAATACCCGTGTGCGGGAAGCCAATGCAGCTGTAAGAAGGCAGGAGATGCCGATGGAACCGAATCAAACCTGATCCATCTGGATGTAGATACTGTAGTGATATGATTATATAAATAGAATTATATATATATATATATGATAAGATACAATTCATAAGTTTAGTAATGAGTATAAACGTGTATATGTATGATTATGTATCTATATATACACATCAACTTTATACACACACATAATCATATATATATATATATATTATACTATATTATAATATTATATTATATTGTATTATATTAAATTAAACTATATCATATTATGTTATATTACACTATATTATACATTTTCTAAATATGATTTTATTACTTTTTAAATTTTAAAACTGTATTTATCAATACTCAACTTATTTACGTATTTATTTATTTTCTTGTCTATTCATTAGTTTATTTATTTGTTCATTTATTTAGAGTACGAATTAGCACTTTAAATAATCCGATATAATTGGTTCATTGCTATATCATCTAAATGAGGCACACTTAGCTATTAGATAGCAAAGTATGTAAAGCGAGTGTGCCCTCATATTCACCGCGGTTTCAAGTCATGCACCGGCATTCTCCATATTTCCCGGTATGTCTATATGTATATAATCGTATAGATATCATTTGACATCCTTGCATACCTATCCTTGTCCTAAAGACTCCTAAAGGTGCTAAAGGTAAAAGACATGGCTGAAGATTTGAATATATTTCAAAATTTGAATATGTTTTTTAATGAGGAGTTTGAAGTTTGCACCTCAGGCCGATGCCAAAGTTTGAGGATCTCGGGCCCGAAGCTTTTGGGCTGCCAGCTGACACTCCATGGCCGCCTGATGCATCACTGCGAAAGAAAGGTCCTTTTGACTATGGACATTGGGACAAGATTGTGGAGGATGTGGAGAGACAAGAAAGAGTGTTGGAGAGGTATGAGAAGCTGCAGAAAGATCCAAAGTACGAATACCGTGATGGCCAGAAGATGCAAGTCATTTATTGATGTGACTTTCTTTGGCCAACACAAAGGCATGCCTCAATGATTCCAGTAGAGTTAGGTTTCAGACCCAGAACTTTTGGGCCTCTTCCAAACACGCGCTGCTTTCAGTGCACGGTCCATCTGGTGGCTTCAGTTGCCATGGAGAGCAGGACTGTGCGCTTGCAAGCAGTGGCTTTGAAACAGATGCCTCCGCTCGAAACAAGAAATCCAAGTTGTGGGAAGAGTGGGCACGCATGAGTAAAGTTTGTGAATGCGCATGGTACATTGTGCATGATGATGCATACTAATCTATATCAAGTAAGTGATATATAGATAGTATAAAGCTGATACTAGCATCCAACTGCTTGCGTGTTGGATGCTTTGGCATTGGTAGCCAGCCCCTCCTGCTCAAACAAGCTTTTGAGGCATGCTTTATTTCACTGGCAGTGCTGTGGCAGCCTCAGTCATTGGAGAGTTTCCCTCCAAAGCATCCCGCAAAAGGATGGCAAAATTGTCAAAATAGAATTGACATAGGCTCAGAATGTCACAGTCTCATGTATATAATATCAGTTGCAGATGGTTACAGGCACTCTCAGTGAAGATGCGCTTGATTCTTGTCAGCAAATAATCAACGGATGGTCTGTCACCAGCTGAGTTTGTCAGCATTTTCTCATATTCTAGTCGGTGTTGTTTGTGACTGTACATAAGTTCATACACTTTATCATACCACTGTATTTCAAAGCAGCCCGACAGCATCAGGAAAGCCATTGAAATGGGGATGACTCTCAGCGAGTACGGCTTGGAGAACAAAGTCACCGGTGAGAAGGACCACCGACGAAAAGCTAAAGAGATGGAATGCTAAGAGTCGGCCAAGAGACTTGTTGAACTTGAGGGCATTGTGGCTACATTCGGGGATCCGATAAGCGAGCAAAAATGAGTGAAGCTTGGTGATCAATCACATCGGGACGGCTCCAAATTTCCCGTGGCCTCATGACTCGATAAACCGATAAACTCACTGCAGCCTGGCCAGCCTTCACTTCTGCTTAGATTTCCTCTGCGCAGGTCACTGCCCGTTCGGAAGAAGAGATCTTCAGATGCCTGGCTCAAAAGCAGAGGAAGACATGTAGCATGTAGTTAAACCCACGTAGCTAACAAATGTAGTGAACATGTTACCATGACAAATCTTAGTAGCCACTGGGACCAAAAACGCGGTCACTCACAAGGCAACGATTCTGTAGAGTGACCCATTTTCTGCTCCAGTGATCATTCAGATTCAGGGGGTGAAGCCTCAAGTCATTTTTGGTGAGGCCCATCTCTGCTGCTCCATTGCTTGTGTTTCAGACTTCAGGAGCACTTGGCATGGAATACTTGGAGCCCTGGCAGAGATGAAGCATACCATTTGGAATTGACAGCGTTCGAGTTCTGATGGCGAACCTCACCTGACATCACCTGACAGCCTTCTTAGAGAAACGAAGACGATGCCGATGCGAAGTAGTGAGCCATAGACATCACGAGCCATGGATGGCTGTGCGCTGTGGCCAGGCAGTTGGGCCATGCATAGTGCGGCATCGACAGCTGGCTGCCACGTTGGCCAACTCTTTTTGGAGGCAAAAACTGCGCAGAGGGGGTTGCCCCGCTGATGAGTTGATTGCGAGAGCTGGATCATTTTGAGGATTTCGGTCTTTGATCATTTTGATCTCTCGAAGTGGCAAGATGTCACAGCACCTATAATTACAGAGCTACTTCCGGAGACAAAATTGTCAGCTATCTAGGCCCGGCTTAGCTGCTTGGACACTGCATGTACCCAGACTGAAGCATTGAAAAGCTGAGTGGCTTGGCGAGGGGAAGCCAAAAAGGGATTTCAAAGAAGGAACCAGAAGGAACCTTTCAGCTTTTGGACAACACACACACACACGTTCAGCTGAGCCGTGACACCGTTGAATGAGCTTGGGACTTGGGGAAAATGTGCATTGGCACCAAGCACATCCGAGCACAAATTCTGCAGTTTTTCCTGGAAACATGATGAATAGTATTCTCTTTAATGTTTTATTGGACAATTTTGGGCCATTCCAGGAGCCAAATGCCCTGAGCACTACATCACTGCTCTTCAAGACCGTTTGGATTTTGTGCTATTAAACGATATTATACGCTTAGGTGAAACCCAAATCTGCACGATTCCACTCTCCAGCTCTGTTTTGGCTGCTCGAACTAGTGGCATGACACTTCAGTCATAGAAGTAACATGATGCATGAACCTTGGCACGACAGATTGTTTTCGACATGCGACAGAGTTACGGACAACATGGGAGTTGAATTTGCAGATGCACGGAGCAGAGCCTTACAAGGATCCAATCACGCATGTGCATTCTTGGATGCAATGCAGATGAGATGCAACGCCGACAACGCATTGCAACACATCGCAACACATTGCAACACATAATGTAGAAAATATGTTTCCAGGAGCTTTTCACCATAATAGGAAGTTGAAACATTTCTGTCAAAATTCCACTAGTGGGTGTTCTACGACGTCAAGTGAGGGAATGCAGCACTTTTGACATGGAACCACTTGGGGTGCCACTTGGTTGGGTGCCACTTGGGCCAGCTTGGGCCTGCCAATGCCTGAGGGCCTGTTTGCCTCGATACAAGTGGCACACTGGCCATTCGCCTTGAACTGGCAGCACCTGCCATCCCAGCCAAGGCATTTTTTTTTTGAGATTGGCGCTAATAACCATGAGCTCGAGAGGGACGAGCTGGGACAGTTGTTGGATGGCGAGGATGACTCCGAGGGGGGGTTTCTGTTGAGTTTTGAGCCGCTGCTCGACAAGTACAGTTACCTCCTTTCATTTTCGAGCGGTGGTGGTGCCGAGAACAATGCTGCCGTGAATTTGGGCTTGCAGCATCGCCGTGGCCTGGCATTGCCATATGCTGTTGGACACTGTGGAGAGTCGAAGTCTGACAGGTCATCGAAAGGGATTGGCGCGGCAGTTTTTCATGTCACAGCCCTTGATGGTTGCAGTAGCCTGCGGCCCCCAACTGCAGACTTTAAGCTGCAGAATCAGGAGATTGCCAGCACTGGTGCAGGCATGTCTTGGCCCAGTTGGGTTGTTGATCGCTGCGCGCATTTACAAGAAGAGCGTTCAGTTCCGTGCGTGTCACTTGCCACGGTGGTCGGGAACTGGCTTGGGGCACGTCCGATTGCCAGAATGAAGGTTGATGCGCAAGGCAGCGATTTGGACGTGATCAAGTCTGCTGGTGAATTCTTGCATCGTTTGCTTTTCATTAATCTCGAGGTACATAGTAGGCTGGCTGCGCCGCTGTATCATGGCCAAGCATCATGTGATGAAGTGTTGCTGACTATGCGGAACTTGGGCTTTGTACTTGCAGATGCCCGAAAGATTGGATCTGCTTGCAACTTTACCATGCCAGAGGGCAATTTGGATTTTGTACGTCGCGAGGTGTGGCCATTGTGGCGTTCCTTCTACAAAGACTATGCGTACTGTTGCTTGCAAGCAGCAAAGTGCACCGCTTTATCTCTCACCGGAGGGAACTGTGTTGAGTCCTGGATTAACCAAACCCGAACGGTGTGTCTAACTACAACAGCGTCGTCATACAATGTTCTACAGTACAGTCATACCTTTTATCGGGTGTATATGTACATACATGTATATACATACATACATAATCATACATACACACACACATATATATATATATATATTTGAATATACATGATACATCATGATACATGATTATGCAATATTAAGCATACAATCGCATACATAAACATATAACTTCTTGTCATATAACCGTATGCATTGCATGATTATACTTGTGCATCTGCATGTGTTTGAAATGTGTTACGTGTTTTGCGAACACGTAATTTGTGAATGTTGGAAGCACAGGGTGCCAGTGAGGTGACGTCTTCTCAGCTGCTGGAGCCTGTGGTGGTCCCCACTGCATCGCGCCCCGGATCAGAGCTCAGGTGAATCGGACAGGTGGTTGTGAGGGTGAGATCCAGGACCGGTTGACGTTCGAATCTTCAGCGTTGGGTATGGTTCAGGTTTGGGTGTCTCCCGGTTGCGAAGAGAACCTCCAGATTCGCTTGGTCGACCAGCATATCAGCTTTTGGATACATCAGGGCCCAGTGAAGGGCAAAGTTTGCTCTGTTCAGTCAGGGTTCATAGCATCAACGAATGGCCCCATGGTGCGTCTACAAGTGGATGATCGGAGAGCCATGGGCGCTCATAAAAGCAAATTGGTGATTCTGAAAGGTCTCCTGGACCAAGAAGCTGAGAAAGCGGGTGAATCCCTCACGATGTACTTGGATGCAAGTGCAAGATTTGACCCAGACATTTATTGGCCCCAGCCTTGTGAGCTCCTCATGAAGTCTGCCCATTGGATTCACATCTTCCGCGTCTCCACTCAATTTGTGGCCACCAACAAGTCCAGTGAGTTCTGTGTTCTGGACAAATTTTAAGAAGTGTGAGCCAACGAAGAATGTAGGATAATTTAGGCATATTAGGCCTTTCACGGTCCTTGGAGCACTCTTTGCCAATGAGTCAATGAGGAAAACAAGTGCGTCATGATGTCATGCATTCTCGCTTTGCTTTCATCTTTTGTCAGAATTGTGGGTTGGAAGGTCCGTCAGGACAGCTTGTAAATTATCAAGAGATATCAAGAGATGTAAAGCGTGTGTATCCCAAGTACAAGAAACACGCATGTTAGGTCGATTTGAAACTGAATCATTGCACATTTGATGATGTTTGCCTGCCCGGCCATTCAGAAACCATACAGTGTGTAGGGCAGAGGGCCCCGGTGATCGCCAACATGCCATTGCTACTTGGCGGCCCGTGAATGCAGTGAATGCAGATGTAGTGCTGCTCTTTGTCTCATGTAATTTCAAGCGCGTGTCAGTGCCAAGCTGTGCCACACTGTGCCAAGGTCACATGGAAGTGGTTCTGGATACTGGTCTTCTGAGAACTGGGATCCTGACAGCCGAGTCTACACTGGTGCTGACATCTTCCAAACACACCGCTTGGCAGTGCAGCCTGACAAGGCCGAGCTCGAGGCAAAGTCCGAAGCATTGAAGGAGCGAGAGTCGCAAGAACCTGTGCAGCCTGGATTGAGGCGAGTCTGCTGGGAGATCTGGGAGCTGGATTGTTACTGTACATGATTTTGTTATATTTTGTTACTGTATATTTTGTTGATTTGTTTGCTGATACGTTGATTGTGATTTCATCTGCGCCATGCAGCAGAAAGTAGTTCTAAGAGAAAGAAGGATCACAATATGATACGACCAGATCCTGTCAGTTTCACACCATTTCTCACCGGAAAACATTAGCAGAGTTCGTGTAATGCCAAGTGAACCAGTGGTTAGGTAGGCATTCAAGGGAGCCATTTACTCTCTGACCTTCGATGTGATAAAACCCATTCTAGCATATTCTAGCTATGTATTATGTTTATCAACTCATTCATCCTCAGAGTCAGGGACATTTGCAGACTGGGCGCCCTCAGATCAAAGACACAATCTATATTATACTATATTATATAGATAATATATAGCAGCTCCTTCAGATACCTTCAGATGGCATTCTTTTTGGGTCTTTTGGATTTGATCTTGAGGCGTGGGAGCAGTGCGGCATATTGGGGTGCCATGGATGATGACCTGGATATGAGCATGGACCTTGGCATCGGCAACGTGTCCTTGGCCCGTTCACCACCAGCCGTCGCCAAAAAAGTATCTTTTGATGGAGGATACCAGGGTGTACAGCAGGGTGTACAGGGATATGCCCAGGGCGACACAGACACCAAGTCGCTGCGCAGGGGAAGTTCTGACTACTGGACTTCAGGAAACTGGGACATGGATCAACGGGATCAACGGGATCAACGGAGGCAATACATGAAGCCCGACTTGAATCATCCAATGGTTGAAGAGTTGGACACACCCTCAACTCAAAGTGGGTCAGCAAGTGTCAAATGCCTTCCTCGCAAAGATAGCAACGCCTACTGGGATGCAAATCAATGGGATCCTGACGAAAGAATCTATGTTGGAGCGGAGGCTGGCCAGACGAATCATCTGACAGCTGTGATCCAAAGTGATGATAAGTTGATTCGTGCATGGGCTGGAGGCCTCACTTGCAGTGGCCAACCTTCTGGGCCAGTTGAAATTTTGAAGGCATTGAATTCTGCTTCGGAGGTGCCGGAGCTTCGTGATCTTTACGAAGTTGAGGCAGAATCTGTTGGTTTTGGGAGTTTCGGCGTTGTGAGAAAAGCAACTCATCGGGAGACGGGCACCCGCTGTGTGGTGAAAAGTCTCAAGAAGACTCAGTCTGGGCCAATGTACAAATCCCAAGTGGAGAATGGCCTATTCGACAGCCTCCTGTCAATGTCTTGGCGTACGCCTCACGATGGCATCGTGAAGTATTTGGACATGCTCGAAAGCGAGGATTCAGGGTTGGGCTGTTGGACCAGGGGCCCTTTGACGCATACATGCTCCGTACCACCAATCAAGGCTGCTGCTTTATACTTTGGACTTAGGCCTATTCATTAGATCTTATTATTTGATATTATTTGATCTTGAATCTATTTGATCTAGTACGACGGTAGTCCTCACACACCGTTGCCAAACCCTTTTGAGGACCACTACTACGTGGTCATGGAGAACCTTGGGGGCCCAGAGCTCTTGGAACAGATGGAGCGGATTTTCCCTGTCACTGAAGCTCACTGTCAGCAAATCATGCGTGAAGTCTTGATGTCACTGGCCCACATTCACAACACAGTGGGAATTTGCCATCGTGATATCAAGCTCGCCCCATGGCTTTACCAGGGCAAGGGAGTAGTCTCCGTCTGAGGTTCGGCCTTGTTGCGGATGCAATAAATGATGCAATAAATCATTGCAGTAGGAGAAGGGGTTCAGAGAAACCACGCAAGCCTCTAAGCCTCTAAGCGCCTAAGCCTCTAAACGCAAAGAGACGGCTTAGAGGCTTACAGGCTGCCTCCAGACATTAGAGGTTTAGAGGCTTAGAGGCTGGCGACGAACTGGAACCCCCCCTCCCGCTACGATGCAATAAATAATGTATTCACACACGCACACACACACACGCATATATATAATTATATATATATATTAATATATATATATATTATATTATATTATATTATATTATATTTACATATACACACACACATATATATATATATATACACATGTACGTATATATATATACTTATACATATTGTTCTATGTATGTATGTATGTATATATATACACAGTACTGGCACCATACAGGGCAGCGCACTCGAAAGTGGAAGAACTTCATGAGAGGGTAGAGATGCGTTGAGTTAAAATGAACGTCTTTATTTTTTTTTTGTTTTTGGTGCAGGCTTCCCAGAAGCCTCTCCCATGTAATCTGCCCATACGTGCGCATCAGTGCACTCTTTAGCTCATCCATGCCAAGGATAACTTCAGATACAGAAGCTCGGAGCCTGGATCTCCGCTCGTCTTGTTGGACTTCGGCTTCCTTGCTCCGTTGAACAAGCCCTGGGATGGCAAGAAATGCGGGACACGCTGCTTGTTTGCAAACGGGCCCTGGTGTCCCAGGTTATACCACTGTGATTAATTGACTGCAATCAATCACTGCAATGCATTACTGCAATGCATTACTGCAAGCCAGTGCTCTACTTTATTGTATGCATGCATGCATTCATGCATTTGTATATTCCATCCCTCATATTGTATCATTGTATCCCCCGATCCCGCATCTATAATATATCCATAATCCATACATCCATCCATTCCATACAGCCATACATCCCATACATCTATACGTACATTACAGATGCACCTTTTTCTGCACATACATACGTCCCTACCTATATGTACGTACGTACGTACTTACGTCACTTCACATTCCCAACAGTGTGATGCTCCAGTGAGGCGGATGCACAGGCTGTCACAACATGTCACAACATGTCACAGGCTGTCATTTGAAGAAGAAGGGCTTGCACATGTGATATGGAGGATGAGCGGATGGTAGGGTGTGATGTCAAACGGCTGCCACACTGACCTGCCCCAAGGAATGTACATGGCACCGGAAGTGATTACCGACGCTGTGGAGCAGCAACATTTGGGCGCGATAGATATGTGGGCTGCTGGAGTGATGCTGCAACAGAGCAGCAAAAAGGCACATCAAGAGGCATACTTACAACATCTATCATAATATTGCACAAAATGCCAGCTCCTGATAGAAAAGAACGGGAACATATTTCAGAATGACCAACTTTTTGGCCTTGATCTACTTCATTCCGCTCCCTTTCATTTCAACTTGTTGTTACGATGTTGTTTCATACGAATAGAACGGTAATTACAACACGATGACGATCACGCACTAGTAAATATATGTAAATATACTATTAAGGGTTACGCAATCTTACTATTACGCATCAACTGCAGCTAAGGTTCAACAGTTTGATCAACAGTTGGTTGGCACATGTTGGTACCGTTGGCACCTGCGTTGGCACCTGCCGTTGGCACCTGCCGTTGGCGCCTGCCGTTGGCGCCGTTGGCACATCTAAGGTACACGCTCTTCACTGGCGACTGCCCCGTGCAGCCAGAGCAGATGCAAACCTTGGCGCCCAAGAGCCCAGCAGCAGAGACCATCATGGCCGAGGCCACTGCCATGCTGCTGCAACGATGGTGCCGGTGGTGCAACCAGCGAACACGTTAAAGAGGATATACAACATATATACAACATATATACACCAGAAACCATCAGAAACCTTTTTAGTTGTCTCAGTATTTTTCCCCCGTGTTTGGTGAAGGTAGTGGAGTAGATCAAGTTAATTGGATTCAGGTAGCGCAAGAGTCTTTGGTGGTGGGATGGGTGCAGACTTGAATGGCAGGCCCTGAGGGCAGAACCTTTGAAATCTATGTCAACTGAAGATGCCTGGCAGCAAATGTGAAAACAAAGGCGCTCTGAAAAAGTTCAGAGCAAAGCTATGTCCTACCAAAACTGTGATCATCCATTCCATGCATCATTGCTTCAGCGGAATCTGTCAACCTCTGCCCGCATCTTTGTTCAGTTCCTATGCCTCTTCTAGGCGAGAGATTTTCTACAACAACTCCTGTGTTTGGAGGCGAGCAGTCTACGTCGTGGTGATATGTCGTGGTGATCATGATGTGGATACTGTACAGGCTTCAAATGTATATATATATATATAACTAGATTTGGCATAAGGATGTATAAGGTGTGTGTATGTATATATATATATGTATATGTATATGTGTATGTGTATGTCTATGTGTATGTGTATGTCTATGTGTATGTCTATGTCTATGTGTATGTCTATGTCTATGTCTATGTCCATGTATATGTCAATGTCAATGTCAATGTCAATGTCAATGTCATGCATACATACAGACATACAGACATACAGACACAGACACACACACACATACACACATACACACATACAAACATACACACATACAAATATACAAATATACAAATATACGAATATACGAATATAAATATAAATATAAAAACAAATAAATAAATAAACAAATAAATAACAGAATAGATAAATAAATAAATAAATACATAAATATAAATATAAATAAATACATAAATAAATAAATAAATAGATATATAGATAGATAGATATATATATATATATTGCGCGTCAAAGGGCGTGACGAAAAAACAACCCCTGTTAGGCCAGCTCCCGCATCACAGCAGCAGATGCCTTGAAGCACCCGTGGCCCGGGGCTGAGTGCGAGATTGCCAAGTCAAAACGCCCAGCAAATCGAATGTAACTGAATAAGGCTTGCCCAGCGGAAACTTGTTGGAGATACTGTAATTGGAGTTTCATTTGGTGTCATATTACTTTCATCTTGCTTTGATGATGGCGCTGGTTCCCGTGAAAGTTCACTCGTTCGGGGGTCTAGACCAGTGGAATTCCGCCACTTGGGTTTTCCATGAGAATAATTTTGGTTCTTCCATTTCCTGGCAATAGATTGTATTCAAACCGCTTTCTGTATCCTAGTTTCACTTTCACATCTATGTTTATATTAAGTTATCTTAAACACGCGCGCACGCACGCACACACACACACGTATATTAGATTGAAGATGCAGTGTCCATCCTTGTATCTTTATATGATATTCACATATATTCACTCAAGTACGTATCATCTTGAATCTTATCGAACCATTGCGATTGAATGATTGGGATGAGTACAAAGCCATCGAATTTTGATGGCCTTCAAATCTTGGTTTCATGACACTTGGCCCCGCAGGTTCTCATTGCGTCTTGACGGAGCTCCAGTTGTGCCAGCAAGCAAGGGTTCATACAGAAGAATGTCATCCAAGAGCAGCAAGGCATGGTCCGGGTGAGGGTGAGGGTAAGGCAGCAACCAATGCAAACATAATGAGAGTGTGTAGCAGCTTTCAGTCATTCTAGTCGGCAACAATGCTAAAACCTATGGAAAGATAGTAGTAGACTCTGAAGAGGTGTCATAGCCCAAAGCAGATATAGCACACCTTGGATTCCTAAGTGAGCACCTCAGAATCCTTAGTTTGCCAGAGCAAGTTATGACACTCGATCAACCACGCACACACACACACAGAAAATCTACGGGACAATTTTCATGTCTGTATCCGGTCTTCCGGTCGAAGCAATGTAGCAACAAGAAGACCTAGCATCTTGAAATATGCCTAGGTTGGAGGACAGAACTTCCTCCAAAAACAACTTAGGGATAGGGAGGGCATGCAGCTTGCAACGGAATTTTGGCTCGGAATTGCGCAGCTGTAGGTCTGCTGCTTTTACATTTCACCCCTCCGTTGCTTTGATCAGCAAGGTGCCTGAATTACCTGATCAGTGAGTTCGTTGAGAGTGCTCAGTGACGGCTGTTGCCGCCCATACCAATAGTTGAACCGTTTCAACCACATTGTTTTACCAGGGCAGCACTTTTTAAAAGCCCTGCCATCTATGTAGGATCTATGAGGTACAGGATAGCCTCTGGAGCTACGCCTGGTCCAAGCAAATGATCGTAATGATCGTAATGATCGTGGTATCCCGCACCACCACAATGCACATCAGGTCATCATGCGCTTGGAGCCTGGTGCGTGCAGAGCTTGATCATCGTTCAAGTTTAAAGGGTTTGCCCTGGCTCCATACCTGTTTCCAACAAAGCAGACCCAAGTTCATCAAGTTCCAGAGTTTCATAGAGTTTCTTCTTTTCCATGTTTCTAGTTTGAATTTGAAGTTACGAGTTTATCGAGTTTGCAGGTTCAAGTGCTAGGTCCTAGGTCTCGTGACTTTGGAGCAGGGAGACAAAAGATAATTCTGCCAGCGGGGTGGGGTCAAGCCTAGGGCCTCAGCCCTGGGCTTGGCTCAAACTTTGTGAATCTTTGTGATGGGTTTGCCTCTGGTCTTTGGGCCATGCACTCAGCCAGTTTCAGCAGAGGGACAGATATTTTAGCTAATGACGTTTTTTCCCGAATGCGTAGCAAGGGTTCCCGTTTCACTCTGGGGGTCTGGGGGTTGGAGTGTGTTCGCTCGACGTTGCGTCCGCGTCCGCAACCGTTCGCAACCGTCCGCAACCGTTCGCAACCGTCCGCGTGAGGACCATATGGCCGTGCCTATGGTAAGTTCTGCAGAGGTGGTCATTTTTGGAGGTTTCAGACGTGTCGTTGCTTCGTTTCGCGTGGCAGGCGTGGCACTTCGTGACATTCAGACGTGTTCTGGAACGTGTCGAAAGTCGTTTTGCGTGGCAGGCGCAATACTTTTGCGACGTTTTCAGAAGATGTGTTGCAGTTTTCGTGGCAGGCGCAGCACTTTGGACGTGTCCATCGTCATTTTTCGTGGCAGGCGCAGCACTTTAGACGTGTCATGTTGCGTGTTTTTTGCAAATCGCATTGGCAGGGCTGCGTCAAGTGGCGACAAGGTGCAAATTCCGTGGCAGGCGTGGCATTTTCTGACATGTGTTGAAAATTGACGGAAGCCTCGCACGAAACATCGATTTTGAGGTTGCAAATTTTCACGTTCTAAGGAAAACTCGTAGGAAAACGTCGATTTTGAAGCTACAAAGTGTGAAAATTGGAGGAAGTCTCGCACGAAATGCTCGTTTTGGTGCTCCCACGTGTCTCGTCTCGAGTCTCTGGTTTCCCTGTGGCCTCGCCGTGTCTATGGGGGAAGCTGGAAAACATGTTCTTGCGGCATGTTTCAAACTATGAAAATTGGAGGAAGTCTCGTACGAAATGCTGATTTTTCTGCATCCACGTGTCTTGTCTCGAGTCTCTGGTTTTCCTGTGGCTTCGCCGTGTCTATGGGGGAAGCCGCAAAACCTCTCCTTTTCGAAGGTTTCCAAGCAGCTTGTCATGTCGTTTTGCGTGGCAGGCGTGGCACTTTGTGACATTCCAACGTGTTTGATAACGTGTCGAAAATGTCAAAATTGGAGGAAGTCTCGTACGAAATGCTCGTTTTTTTGCATCCACGTGTCTTGTCTCGAGTCTCTGGTTTTCCTGTGGCTTCGCCGTGTCTATGGGGGAAGCCGCAAAACCTCTCCTTTTCGAAGGTTTCCAAGCAGCTTGTCATGTCGTTTTGCGTGGCAGGCGTGGCACTTTGCGACATTCCAACGTGTTTGATAACGTGTCGAAAATGTCAAAATTGGAGGAATTCTCGTACGAAATGCTCGTTTTTCTGCATCCACGTGTCTCGTCTCGAGTCGTTGGATTTCCTGTGGCGTCGCCGTGTCTATGGGGAAAGCTCCGCACTCCTCACTCCACACTTTACACTCCACACTCCTCACTTTACACTCCACACTCCACACTCTACACTCCACACTCCACACTCTACACTTTACACCCCACACTCCACACTTTTTACATTTTACACTCCACACTCTACACTCCACAAACTAGACTTTCCACTCCACACTCCACACTCTACACTTTACCCTCCACACTCCACACTCCACACTTTACACTTTACACTTTGCACTCCACACTCCACACTTTACACTCCACACTCCTCACTTTACACTCCACATTCCACACTCCACACTCCGCACTCTACACTTTACACTTTATTAAACTCCTCCCTCCCCCCTCCACACTCTACACTCCACATCCCCCACTCACACTCCACACTCTACACTTTCCACTCCCCACTCCACACTCCACACTCTACACGTTGCACTCCACACTCCACACTTTACACTCCACACTCCACACTTTACACTCCACACTCCACACTTTACACTCCACACTCAGCGCTCTACACTTTACACTTTAAACTCCTCACTCCTCACTCCTCACTCCACACTCTACACTCTACACTCTACACTCCACACTCCTCACTTTACACTCCGCACTCCACACCCCACACGCCACACTCCACACTCTACACTTTACACTCCACACTCCACAGTTTGCACCCCACACTCCACACTCTACACTCCACACTCCTCACTTTACACTCCACACTCCACACTCTACACTTTACCCTCCACACTCCGCACTCCACACTCCACACTTTGCACTCCAGACTCTACACTTTACACTCCTCACTTTACACTCCACACTCCTCACTTTACACTCCACACTCCTCACTTTACACTCCACACTCCTCACTTTACACTCCACACTTCCCACTCCACACTCCACACTCCACACTCCACACCCCTCACTCCACACTCCACACTCTACACTTTCCACTCCACACTCCACACTCCACACTCTACACTTTACACTCCACACTCCGCACTTTACACTTTACACTCCTCACTCCACACTCGACACTCTACACTTTACACTCCACACTCTACACTTTACACTCTACACTTCACACTTTACATTTTACATTCTACATTCTACACTCCACACTCTACACTTTCCACTCCACACTCCACACGCCGCACTCCGCACTCCACACTCCACACTTTACACTCCACACTCTACACTTTACACTTTACACTCCTCACTCCACACTTTACACTCCACACTCCTCACTTTACACTCCACACTTTGCACTTTACACTCCTCACTCCTCACTCCACACTCTACACGCTACACTCCACACTCCACACTCTACACTTTACACTCCACACTCTACACTTTACACTTCGCATTCTACACTTTACACACTCTACAGTCCCCACTCCACGCTTTACACTCCACACTCCACACTTTACACTCCACACTCCAAACTTTACACTCCACACTCCACACTCCACACTGCAGACTGGTAACAGGGGAAATATGTACAAGACAGTTCAAATAAACTATTGCAGAAAAGTGTTGTGCGTGACTGCATATCCATGTGTTTTGACATCTGTACCATTAACATGCGTGTGAGCATTCGGGTTCGTGGGCTTCATCTTGTTTTTTTTTAATTGATGGATATGGAATTTCGAGGATTTTCATGGACATTATTGAACTATCTTTCGATGTCTCAGGTGTCTGTTGTTTAATCTTTGAATATCATAGAGCTGGTGACATGGAACTGCTTCCCTTGTTGCACCCCCTTGTGGCTCGCACAGTTCCTCAATGGAAGGATTCAATCTAGAAGTGTTCGCTGTGACCGCGAAGTGAAAAGACGAAGCGGCGCGGCAAACCCTCCAGCAGCTCTAGAAATTGCTGTTCCGTATTCATGTCCCTGCACTCATGAAGCGTACGTGCACAGGTATGCTGATTTTATACACGGTATACATATCTATATACATATCTATATATGTATGTATCTATCTATGTATTTATGTATCTATGTATCTATCTATCTATCGATCTATCTAATCTAATCTAATCTATGCTAATCTAATCTAATCTATTCTAATCTAATCTATGCTAATCTAATCTAATCTATTCTAATCTAATCTAATCTAATCTATCTATCTTTCTATTTCTTTCTATCTATCTATCTATCTTTCTATCTATCTATCTATCTATCGTTCTATCTATCTATCTTTCTATCTATCTATCTTTCTATCTATCTATCTATTTTTCTATCTATCTATCTACCTATCTTTCTATCTATCTATCTATCTACCTAATCTTATCTTATCTTATCTTACCTTATTTTATCTAATCTAATCTAATCTAATCCTATCCTATCCTATCCTTATCTATCTATCTATCTTTCTATCTATCTATCTATCTATCTTTCCATCTATCTATCTTTCTTTCTACCTATCTATCTATCTATCTATCTGTGAATTTTCATTCAATGTGCCTGATGGTCTTGGCATGACCGCATGTGCATCCATTTGTGACCGCAGTCGACTGGGCCGAAGTCATTTGAAAAAGGAGCGCTTCGATTGCATTTTGCCATGGCCGTTTGATTTTCGTTGACACCTGACACATTAGCACGTGTTACGGTGAGTTGGCACCGGAGCCTGTCGGTGACCATTTTCCATGCCGCATTTGCCTGATTTGGATCCTCCGTTCGTTGACCACTGGGACGCCAATTGGTCCGACCGTGAGTTTGACCTGTTTGGGGATGCGATGAGCAGTGCTTACGATGATGATAACCTTGTTGATTTTGACTTTCCTTCCCCTTCTGCGAGTTCAGTTGGTGCGGCTGGGAAAACGGTTAGATCCAGGGACACTCGTTGGCGTTGCTGCAGGTGCGGGTCTGAAGCTTGGACTTGGGACACGATGTCTCGCGACTGGTGTTGTTTGGATTGTCGCGGAATGAACTATGTTGAGATTAATCCATCAGTTTATGAGCAGACTTGGGCAAACAATTCCACTGGCAGTTCGGGTAGACTCCCTGCAACGGCGTTTGGGCCTCCGCCGTCTGATGATGGCCCAATCCATGAAGGTTCAGAGTGGGACGATTCCGAAGTTGGAACAAATGATCCAGTCGTTGATCCGGACACTCTGGAAACTATGTCTCGCAGAAGACGCCGACGACGAGCAAAGCAAATAGCAGATGATGCGATTAGCACCGGAAATAATTTGGGTCAGCAAGACAATACAACTGCAGCGGGTGGTTCAAAGCAGGATCGCATTTTGGACTTGTTGACGCAATTGGTTTCACAGTTATCGAATGACATCTCAGGACTCAGATGCGTCTTCCTGGACATCTCGTCGGGGTCCCGAGCGTGGTGTCCGCTGGCGCGGAGGAACTCCTCCAACACCTCCGGTTTGGAGGAACAGTTCTGATTTGAGGGCCTTCAGTCGCTGGGAGAAGAAGATCCAAGTGTGGTCTATGCAGGTAGCAGCATTCATGCCTAAGTCAGACGCGGCATTGATGCTGTTCACGAGTTTATCTGGTGAAGCAGAATTGGAAACTGAGCACATTGATCTAGACAAGGTCAATTGTCCAATATTTGCTGGATACATTGCGGGAACCCCTGCAACAGAAGATGCTTTTTCAGAAGCGGAAGCTTCTGGCGGACTACGAGCACATCTCCAGGTTTCAGAATGAGACGGTGCGGCAGTTTGCGAATCGTTATGTGAGGGTGGAGAAGGACCTTGCGGCCATCGGCATCAGCACTTCCTCTATGTATGACTCGGAGAGTCGTGGCAACCGTTTGCTGGACAGGTCACGACTGACTCCAGACTTGCAGAGGCTGGTGTTGATCGGGGCAGGCAACAGTTTGGATTTTGAGCGGGTTCGAGATAGCTTGAACTTCCAGTTTCCCGACTTTAAGCCTAGCCCTCCTGTAGCTGGTTCCCAGGGTTCTTCAGGCAAGTCCAAGGGCAAGGGATCCAATGCCTCTTCCTCTTCATTATCGAGTTCAACGGCGTCTAACTCGAGCTCGTTTTCACCCAGTTCCTCATCGTCATACCGTTCGCCTTCCCAAGGAAAATACCCAAGACGGGTATATCAGACTGGTCACGGTGATGAGCTTCAGCAGATTCCTGAGGAATCAGCAGATCAAGGACAAGACCATGTTTCAGAAGGTCCTCATTTTGAGGATGCCGTGGAAGATGCCTATGAAGAGGACCCTGCAGGGGACGAAACTTCTCATGACCAGGAAGCTGACTTTGATGATGAAGATGACGATGGCTCCTCACTTCAAGATCTTGCAAACGTTTTGACAGTGACATCCCGCAAGTTGCAATCTACGGTGCTGGGAAGGAAGTTTTCAGGAAGACCTCGATCAATCGAGGAACGTAAGAGGACTTCAGCTTGCACGGCATGCGGCCAGATGGGCCACTGGGCCGGTGATTCGGCCTGCAACATGTCCAATAAGGACAAAGGCCCTTCCAAGCCCAACTCTAAAGGAGCTGGCAAGGCATCCCTTGGCAAAGATGGCGGAAAAGGAAAGGGCATCAAGAAGGCCTTTGTGGTGAACCTCCCTGGGGAAGATCATCTATGTCAATCTACTTCATCAAGTTCATCATCATGGAATCCTACCTCTACTACATCTTCACCTATTGGGGACCCTTCAACATACTTCACCTTTGCCATTAACATGCACCAGATTGACCATGACCCCTACCATAACTATATCACTGAGATCATCGACTTTGCAGGGTATATGATCATTGATACGGCATGCCAGCGTTCATGTTGCAGCTCCAGATGGTTGGATGTTCACAACCGCATGTTGTCTAACTACCACCTCAAGTCTCACATCGTTCAATCATCCGACAACTTCCAGTTTGGCTCAGGTGGCATCCATCGAGCACTGCAGCGGGCCTATGTTCCAGCAGCGTTGCCAGGCCAGCCAGAAGACGGGCTGATTTTGGGAATCAGTGTGGTTCCAGATGCTCAGATACCATTTCTTGCAAGCAGCAGCATGTTGGAGAAGTTGGGATGCATCATAGATACAGTTCAGAAGCGTTTGCATTTCCGTTTTCTTGGAGTTGATGTTCCTTTGGAAAAAAACATGGCCACTATGTTGTCAACATCATTCAGTTTTCAGAACATGTCGCACGTTCAGCAGTTTGGAAAGACATGTCTCATGCCATTGAAGCACCTGACTGTGAGCCGGAAGTGATCATCGCAGCAACTCTTGCACAAGCAGTTGATCACGTCCAGACCTCCAGCATTGATGCAGACAACGAACGTGCCACCGGAATGGCTTCAGCGTTGGAGGAATTTGGTGAGACGGCTTCTCGGCATTTTCATGCACACCATCCGCTACATGAGTCGTATGGTGAGGTTGGACATGGCACCCAGGAGTTGGCTCACGATGTTGGAGCAACAGGTCATTGCTCGAGAGCATCGCATGGAGATGGCTGTCAGAAGCCGTCCTCTTCCAAGCCTGTGTGCCCACACGGAGTTCCGCCGGTACGGGAACACGCACGGCCGGTTCAGTCAATGCCTTCAATGTCTTCAACGATTCCGATGGCTTCAAGATCAACAGGCATGGGAACCCTATGGAAATCAGCCCTCGCCGTCCTCATCACACTTGCCTCCGCCCTCCAGTTCGAACATCCTTTCCAGCAGCAAGGGCACTGAAGGGCAAGAAGGGCTCGACGGCCAAGCCTGCTCCCAGGAGGAGACCTTCCAGATTCTCAATGGCATCAAACCCAGCAGCCGAGGAGATGGATCCTTGGACAGCCTTGGGCCTGACCCAAAGCGAATACGAACAGGGGATGATGGATCACCAGACGATCGGCTCAGAGGAGGAGTTCGATTGGGGAACCAGCCTTTGAACGACTTTTGGGAATTGGATGCTGGTAAATGCATCCGCCACCATTTGAATCCAAGGATGGATTCCTTTGAGCCTCGTGGCACCCAATGTCCTGTTCCCTTGCATCGACTCCGGAATGCTTTCCAAGTTCATATGCAATTCGATCAGCAGTTGGTTGAGGTTCGAAACTATAACTGGACAAGGGGATCCAGGAAGATGGCAGATAGACCATGGACTGGCATGACCATCTTCTACTTCAACGACCAGAAGAAGAACACCTTAACCAACGCTGCAAAGAGGGGTCTCCTTCAGCGACTTCGAGCCGCAGTACGTCTTCATGAAGTTGAGCAAGTTCTGATGGCACGATCTACTCCTCGTGTCCGAAATTCCACGGTGGATCTGCTTGAGACCTTTGCCGGCAGTGCCACTGTGACTAAGTTAGCAGCTCAGCGGGGACTGAAGACTATGGTTCCCATGGACTACAACACCGGCTTCGATTTGTCTGACAAGCAGACCCAAAGACAGGTCGACGAGATGCTGACACTCCGTCGACCCTTGCTTCTGCTCCAAGAGATTGACTGTCGACCTTGGACCTTGCTTCAGGACAATACCAACTTTGTAGATCGACCTGAAGCATTGGAAGCTTGGAGAAACCAGGTGAGGCCCATGCTCAAGAAGATCGTCAGTTGGTGTGAAAAGCAGGATGATGAAGGAAGATTTTGGTTGATAGAAAATCCACAGACCAGCAGACTTTGGAAGGAACCTGCACTACAACGTCTTCTCAGCCGGCCTACGTCCAGATGTGTGACGTGCCATGCAGGTGCCTACGGTGCTACCAACTCCAAGGGCCAGATGATCAAGAAGCCTCATACTTTTGCAGGCAACTGTCCTTTGATTTTGGAGCGCCTGACATTGAAGCTTGATCAAGACCAACTAAAACAATGCCAACCCTTGGCCGGGAAGGAAGCCACCCTGAGCCAAGAATACTGTCCAGGCCTTGTCGAGGCCATTGTGAGTGGACTCTGTGACACCGCACAACAACAAGATCCAAACCGATTCCTTGACACTGAGGCAACTTTTGACACCTTTGCGGTAGACCAGATTGAGTTCGAGGGTGGCATGCAGAGTTGGCAACCCTTGTTTGACCGCGTGGTGCAACTGTTCAAGCAGACCTCCCACAAGACTATTATGTTGGCTCGCTCAGATCCTCTTTGGGACCAGGTTCAAGAGATGGTTCCCTGGTATGCCATTGAAAGGATACAGTTAGCCAGTCAACCTATGATCCATCGATTTCCGACACACGTCCCACATACCCATCGAGGATCAGCTTTGGTCTACAACGATGGCGACTTCGAGGTGATCATCGAGGACCTTGAAGACATAAGATTTCCGAAGGGGCGTTTCAAGAAGCCAGTGAACTATGGCATCTTTTTCTTCGGCTACATGAATGATCCTAAACAACAACCTTCAGCACCATCTTCACTTCCACCTCATCTTGAACCTCTTCAAGATAACCCCATTCAACGCATCGACCACCACCTTCATGACATCAACTTCCCCTGTGAAAAGAAGTACACTCAGGAGACCAAGACAGTCGTGGCACGACTACATCGGAACTGAACCTTGGCCATCCTCAACCTTCAGAGCTCAAGAAGCTTTTGGCTATGAATGGAATCAACAACCAGGATATCCTCGCAGCAGTCGAAGACATGAAGTGCGGCGTTTGTGAACGCATTCGGATGCCTGCGAAACCACCTCCTGCAGCAATACCTGACTCTGGCTATCGGCAGTTTGCCGACTCAGTTCAGCTGGACATCGTCTACATCCGTGACATTGCTGGGCGCAACTACCCAGTTCTTGGCGTGATCTGTGAGACCACGTTGTTGCACCAAGCCACCATTTTGGAGAGCCGCCTTCCTGATGAAGTCCTCCGCAAGTTCATCAGAATTTGGGCTCAGCCGTTTGGTTTCCCACTTCTGGCACGGCTTGATCCTGACGGAGCTTTCCGTGGCGAGTTCGAAGACTACATGGATGTGACTGGAACAAGGACTGACTATGTTCCACCAGAAGCCCATCATCGCATTGGTCTCATAGAACGGCACAACGCCACTCTCAGATCGATTGCCGAGAAGGTCATCGACCAACAGGCTGTTAATGGACCTGAGCAGATGGAGCTTGCCATTGCTCAGACGGTGTTCGCCAAGAATGCTGGCACATGGAGCACTGGAAGACCACCATTTATAGCAGCTTTTGGACGCATTCCGCGTCATGGAGGACTTGACCTTCTGTCAGACAACCATGCATTGACAGTTGGTGGAACCCAACATCATATGCATCAACTAGCCGATGTCCTCCGATCTGAAGCTCAACAACACTTGGCGGCAATGAGGATTGATTCATCATTCCGGCGTGCCTTACTCCGGAAGACCAAACCGGATCCTTCACTTCAGATCAACATCGGTGACACAATTGCCTACTGGAGATGGACTACCAGAAGTCACAAGAAGCGTGGCGGATATAAGCTTGCACGGATGCTCGGCTACGACCCGGATGGGAAATCAATATGGGTGCAAGCTGGCACCAACACCGTGAAGATCGCGAAGGAGCAGGCCAGACAGGCCTATGGATTCGAGACTTGGAATCCTGATCCTGCAGATCTACGAGCACTTCGTCAAGCCAGCGACAATATCAAACAGGGCATCTTTGATGATGAGTCGCTCCCAGTTCAGAATCATCCACATCAACCTTTTGAACCTGACGATCAACCACAAGATGTTGGAGAAGACCTACCACCGTATCAACCACCAACACCTCCACCAGCACTACAAGTTGTACCTCATTCACAACAACCAGCATCCCAGGAACACAACTTGAGCCAGCAACAAGCAGACCCACTACCTACACAACCGAACACAAACACTACAATACAGCAACAACAACAACAACAGAACACAAACACGATCACACAACAGCAACAACAGCAGAACATACACTTGGAGATCACGTCACCAACAAACATACAGCGCAACATCTTCATGCCAGGATCTTATGGTCTGAACGCAGAACAGATGGGACAACCAGCAGTTCGAACACCGGTTCGACGACCTCGTCGATCCCGGACACCAAACAGACAATCATTACCACAGCCAAGGACAACAGACATACGACCAACAACCACTTCTACAGATCAAACTTATCCTCAACAACCACCTGAAATACCACTTGCACAACAACATGCTACAGGAAACAGCACACCACCTTTACCGCAAATTCCAGATGTCCTCGAGATATCTGATGAGGAGTTCGTTGACGTTGGTGAACAAGTTCCTACAACCCCGAAGGAGTTGACTAGGATGGCACCAGCACATGCCGCGGGCAGTTCTACAGTTGAACGCTTGACACCTGCCAAGCGATCTGTGGCCAGCCTGGAGGAAGACACTCTCCCGGGAACGCAAGAGCCAGTTCCACCTTCACTTGGCCAACCTGATCCTCAACCAGATCAGCCGCAGCAGTCCGACTCCGTCCAAAATTCATTGATGTCAAATGCACGTTTTTGCCATGATAGCCCAGATTCATGCACAGATGCTCAAGCAGCACACCGGTCACCTTTTGTTTGCACAGACAATGGCATTCTGTTGAATGACAAGCACTTTGATGGCACCACCGAGATCTACATGCCTGTGGCCAGCACCACTTACTTTCAAGCCTACCAAGCTCACGTTGACTACGAGGGCGACGGGCTCAGTGATGATACAGATGCATCACAGGACGACATGTCCACGACCACCACTGACAAGAAGCAGCCTCGACTGACACGTCAAGAACAGAAGGCTCTTGATAAAGAGCTTCCCTGGCGAGTCATCATTGAGCGAGGTGGCGACTACTTGCAGAAGTTCATCCAGGCCGCAAAAGATGAGGAGAAATCATGGATAACTTTCCAATCAGTCGAGCCTGTGGATGACGAGACTGCAAAGAAGATTATGTCAACACATGCTGGTCGTCGTCGAGTTTTGAAGGCCAGAGCTGCCTTCCGTGACAAGGCCAAGAATGTTGGTCCAGTCAGGGCCAAGTGCCGTGTCGTGATGCTTGGATGTTTAGACCCAGACCTCTATAGCTTGAACCGCGAGAGCGCCACGCCAACCAGACAGTCTGAAATGCTGATTTATGCAATTTTCATTTCTGGTTGCAATGGGAAGATGGGCCGTGATGGAGCACAATGGCTTTTGTGGTCTGGTGATGTCAAGACCGCCTTCTTGCAGGGCGAACCCGAACCACGACAAGAACCACTTTACATGGCTCCACCTCGAGATGAGATTTGCAAACTGGCAGGTATCTTTCCCAGATCCCTTTACCTGGTGCGAGGAAATGTCTATGGCCTTGCTTCCGCACCGAGGACTTGGTCGCTCCATGTCGTGAAAAGCCTTTTAAGACTTGGTTGGGTTCAACATTCCTTGGACAAGATGTTATTCATGTACTATGGCAAGCCGAATAACAATGGCGATTCAAAATTTGCTTGCAGCTTGCATTGTGTACGTGGATGATTTTTTGTTGACCAGGCATGCAGACTATGACATGAAGCAGTTGTTGTCAGCCTTTAGTTGGGGTTCTCAGACTTC